TATTCCTTCTTTTCCATAAACCTTTGGTTTATCCTGTTATTATCATTATATCACCGACCAGGCTCGGGATGTATTGGTGCGCTATATCTAGCGTAATCCTGCCGTAATCCTTTAAAGCCAATAGCCTCGCATGGCTATAAGCAGGGTGATTCTATTTTCTAGAAGGGTCTATTCCCTTGGGATAGGATAAACCTGGTTACCAAATATACTTTGGAAGTATAAAAGCGCCTTGTATCAATCGATAGTGCAGCCTCGACACATTCGATCCTGTAACGGGGTCGGCGGCGAGCAAGGGGCCGGCTCGGCGAGCAGGCGTCGAAGCGGCGAGCAGTGGCGTGGTCGACGCGGCCGGCGACGGCTGGCGCCGCTGTCGCGGTGGTCGCAGCTGTTGCGGCTGGCGACGGCTCGTGCGGCTGGTGCGACAGTCGCGGCTGTCGTGGCTGGAAATTGCTGGTGCAGCTGGCGTGGCTGGCGCGGCTATCGCGGCTCGCGCGGCTGGCGTGGCTGGCACGGCGGTTGGCGCGGCTGGTGCGATGGCTGGCGCGGCTGGAAGCTGCGTTGCGACACGGTAGGCACATGAGAGGCTAGGACTGTGAGAGCCTAGGAGCGAGAGAGACTAGGCTAGGCTAGACTAGGGTAGGCTAGGGCGGAAGCTCGGGTGGGTGGGACCTACCTAGCGTGATACCATGTAAGAGTAGCAAAGTGAACTCTAGCAAGGCATACACGTGGGATACAGTGGCGGAAAGTATTGTCCGCATGTTTGTCACTTGGACGAATTTTGGAATATTAAGGGGTCATGCACATTAAGCCTTCATCTTTTGGTGTGCCCAGTGTATGTAGGTTGGGGTAAGGCTATAGGCCCATGCCTTACATTTCTCGAAGATACCGATGTTTACAGCAAGTAGCACGAATTAACAATCATGGTACATCCGGACAATTTGTGCCAGGCGCAAGCAGCAAGTTTCAACAACCCCAAAATAGTACCTAGTCCACCGCCCTTTCACTTTAATCACCACCCTCTCCCTCCTAGGCATGCTTTCCACCAGGTGGGTGCACAAACCCGATGATATCTTCGACCTTTCCTTCTGGACACGCCCCCACAGGTCCAGCATACCAGTGGGAGGCCTCTCGTGCTTGGCTAGCCACACATTGAGATGAGCCCATAGATGCTCTATTGGGTTGAGGTCGGGTGAGGATGATGGCCACTCCACCACCCCAAACTCCTGTTCTCGAGACCACTCATGCACGATACGCGACTTGTGCTTGGGGTCGTTGTCGTGCTGGAAGATAACTTCCGAGGGTGCAAGTTGGTAAAACTCGATCGTACTATTGAGCGTGTCCTGCAGTATACTCAGAGAGAGTAGTCCGTCCATCCTACCATATGTTTTGCTCATGAAACCCACTCCCTTATACGGTATGCAGTCGCAAATCATCCAGCAATCGCCCCCGTGTTTGACGGTATGCTTGATTTGGTGTCTTTGGAGGGCAGTCCCTTCATGAACGCAGGCGTATGAGAGTCCGTCGTATGCAAAACGACCGATCTTGGTCTCATCCGAACAGATCACTCACTTCCAGTCGTCAACCGTCCAGTCTGCGTGGGCACGGGCCCATTCCAGCCTATCGCGTATGTTTTTCCGAGAGTGTCGCGGCTTCTTGGGATTCTTGATTGTGACAAGTCCGCTGCCATTCAAAGCTTTACGCACTGCCTTAGGATGCAACGTGATGCCGTGCTACTTCTGGACGATCTTCGCCACGTAAGCGGAGATTTTTGCCTCCTCGCTGGTAATCGACCGAACTATGTCGGCCCGGACTCTCTCTGTCACTAAGCGAGGGCGACCAGCTGAGGGCATCGTAGGACGCACGTCATCGCGGCTAGACTCTACAATCGCCTTGATGGACCGAACTCTTCCCTATGCCTAGCTATTAAGCGATTCGACGATTGCTATACCCCCTCCGCAACAAGGTAATGATCCATGCGTAGAGCGCCTCATCTAACGGTTTCATGACGGCCTAAACGTCACAGCGGTCCTAGCCTATCTCCTGACTACTCGAAAGTCGCGAGGGCAAGTAAGTAGAAAAAACGAGGTTAGGAACTAGATCTAGTAGGCTGCTTGGCATGAACTGTCCGGATGCACCCACGCGAACCAAATCTCGTCCCCTTTAAAAAATCGACCCCTACAAATCTGAAACCCATACCCGTTACATACAACACATAACTACTTTACAGCCAAGGCCGAAATATGAATCGTAACTATACAAAAATGGCACCAAAAAAGTACGTAAAAATTTTTCGGGAAATTATCCGGGCAATACTTTCCGCCAGTGTATATGGTTTGGTATTGTACTCTCAAAGAGCACTTACCCAACTAGCCTAAAACTATATGCACAAGACATATGTATAAGTTGGCATCTTTAGCTTCCTATATACTATTGTTTGTCATCTTGTTGTTCAAAATCTCCCTTGACAATGTCACCAACCAATCACAACACGTCCGCTGCTCATGCCCTCTGAGCTTTCAATCATCAAGATCATACATGAATTTTATCACCGCATAAATATACAAGCAGAAATTCTAGGGTGAAGAAAACAATTAAACTAGAGATTCACGAATTGCACTTAAAATTAATTCTGAAAATCAGGATTTCATGATAAAACATCTTGATATATGAGGCCCTTGCTAGCTGATGTGCGCTTATTTTAACTTCTTGTACTTCTAAATAGCAACCATTTGCAGTAGTTTCACTTCCAACAGTAACAACACTACCACCAGTGTTAGGAAATTCCCTTTTCCTTACTGGGCTCCACTACAGCGCGTACGCCCTCGACTCTCCGAAGTCCAGGCTCGGCCAACTTCTTCAGTCCCGAACCATTTCGCGAACCCAAACCTAGACGCGCAACGCTTCCGTGGCTTTCGCCAAACGAACCGCCCCAACCTGTTCGCGTGGTTCTTGGCTAGACCTGTTCATGGCTATAAATGCATATGCCCTCATTTGTATCGACACTCTTGAATCACGACTCCTTTATTACACTACCTGTTTTTACTCTGATTAATTCATAACTGCTGATATCAGAGCCCCGTTCCTGCCCGCTAAGTCTTTCGTAGAGTAGGCCGATTATATCGGGAGAGGACCCAAGAGAATAGAGGGTTGGCCAGTGGTTGGTAGGCGAGCTCGTTAAAGCTCCTCCAACTAAAAGCGTGTGCACCCTCAAATCTGTCAGGCAAAATTTCCAGCATGTCTATCACACTGGAAACCTCTGCCCGTCGTAGTGTTAGGAACGTGACTTAGGAGGAGTTTGATGAGTTGCAAGCGAGGGCGGCTATAGTGGCGACACTGCAGGCCCAACTTTAACAACTCGCCGATAAGTTCGAGTCACTATGAAGCGAAGTGCTGACACTGCGCAATGAAAACTCATCGCTTCGTGAGACGCGGGGTGAAACGCGTCAGGGGCGGCCTGTTACCCGAGCCAAAGATTTTGCGAGCGAAGCGAGGTTGTCGGCGACACCTAAAGCAATTGAAGAAGTCCACAGCAAGCCACGGGCGGCCATTAAAATCACGCCTCCGATGCCCCCACCGTTCAACCCGACCTACAGGACAACTACAATGAGTGGGTGGTTGTTCGCCATGGAAATCTTCTTCATGGCAGCAAGTATTAATGACAATGCATCACGCGTCAACTTGGCGGTATCGCTGCTGAGGGGACCGGCACTCGATTGGTGGCACATCCATCTAGACGAGGGAGGAGCCACGGCAGGGAATCAACGGGCGGCAGATGGGGAGCTGAGTTCATCAACGGCGAAGGCAGAACCAATCTTAGGATCGGCCACGATCCGCACGTGGAAAGCGTGGGGCGAAGCGTTGAAGGGCTCGCATCCATGCGCAAAAATGCTCGCACAAAGCTTCGGATGTGGAGACAGTTGGGCTTTTTCCAAGAATATGCGGCATCGTTTATGATAATCTGCGACCAAATCGGAGGGCTTAGTGAAGACAAGCGCATCGTTCGCTACGTGGGTGGTCTCAAGCCGGAGATTCAGCAAGAGATCGTCTTGCGAGCCCCGGCGACATTCAACAAAACCGTCCGCCTAGCAGACGCGCTGGACGCACGAGAGCGGGTTTCTGGGAGGGAAATTTCTTTTGAGGCTAGCCCCAACACACGTCAATCAACGGCGTGGACGTGTTTGCAGCCCGAGTATTTTCGGGGACCTGCTTCCACTGCAACCAGCCGGGTCACATGGTGAGGGACCGCTCGCAACTTAAGAACTTACCTAACGACAAGAAGCAGTCGGGAAATGGAGATCGTCAATAGCAAATGGGCCACCTACTGACTTGAATGCGTCACCCAAACGCCACCACCCCCACCAGGTTCTAGTGCCGATTTGGGCTATCGACCATTTCTTGCTGAAAAAGGGGGGTGAACCAGTTGATCGCCCTGTGCTGGTTGAAGGGAGAGTTGGCGACACCCGCATCTAAATATTCGTTGATGGCGGGGCGAGCCACAGTTTGATGGATGTGACGAAGGCAAAAAATTGGCGGCTGCAACTGGAGCGATGCATGCCTGAAATCGACGCGAGATTGGTCGACAGCACACCCCTAGCAATTCGGGAGCGAGTACATCACGTGCGAGTAACATGCGGCGAAAATTTCAGTTTCACAACGAAGATGCTAGCGACATCTTTGGACGGCTGCGGCATGCTGCAGGGACGCGATTGGCTGCGCGAATACAACCTGAGCATCGACTGGCGGACGGGCGATTGCTGCATCAAATGGAGTGGCAAGTGGCGACGACTACCCAAGTGGAGCTATCAAGATTCGACCACATCGACGGTCAGCGCAGTAACGATCAAGCGAGCCATGATTCAAGGGGCGCAACTGTATGCCGTTCGATGGATCGCATCCACGGCTGTCGACACGCCAGCCGACATCGACAAACTCTGCGAAGCTGTCCCGGATGACTTGGCGATTGTGATTCAGAAACACGCCAACATTTTTCATGACGACCTACCGGCGGGTTTGCCACCCGAGCGAGACCGCGACCACAAAATCGGGTTGGAGCCCGGCGCGCAACCTATTGTTCGGACTCAATGGCGGCTGACTCGGCCCGATCTAGATGAACTTCGACGCCAGCTGGACTACCTGCTCAAGAAAGGTTTCGTTCGCCCCAGCACTTCCCCGCTTGCAGCTCCGATCCTGTTCACCCCGAAGAAAGATGGCGGTCTACGAATGTGTATTGACTACTGCGCCTTGAATCAGGTTACCATCAAGTCCCGCTATCCTATCCCATATGCCGATGAACTCATCGACCAACTTCGTGGAGTCAAGTTCTTTTCGAAAATTGACATGCGAGGCGGTTACCACCAAATCGGTGTGAACGAATCTTATTGCTACAAGACAGCTTTCGGACCCAGTACGGGAGTTTTGAGTACACGGTTATGCCATTTGGCCTAACAAACGCGTCTTCGATGTTCCAGTTAACCATGAACGAGGTTTTTCGGCCGCTGCTGGATAAATGTGTCATCGTGTACCTCGACGACATCCTGATCTACAGCACTATTCGGGAGCAGCATTTGATGGATTTGGAAGCAGTCTTCTCTGTCTTGCAGCAGCACCGACTCCGACGTTAAAATCGACCCCAAGTAGATAGCGACAATCCAAGACTAGAAGCCGCCGGCTAATCTCCATGAACTTCAGAGTTTTCTGGGGTTTGTGAATTACGTTCGCCGGTTCATCCCGAACATAGCAGGGGCAACTTCCCCTCTCACGGATCTTCTGAAGAAAGGCAAGTTTCATGAGTGGGGGGGAGAGCAGCAGGTTGCGTTCGAACAGCTCAAACTTTTCCCGACTACACCTCCGGTTCTTCAGATTGTAGATCCTCACCGTCCATTCGAGCTCGTCACCGACACTACTGATCTGGCCGTTGGCGTAGTACTGTTACAAGACTTTGGCGAAGGCCTCCAACCCATCGCGTACGAATCACGAAAGCTGAACCCGGCCGAGCGAAATTATCATGTTCACGACAAGGAGTTACTCGCCATCGTTCACGCTTTCAAGGTCTGGCGGTACTACCTGACGGGCGCTGACGTGACACTCTGAACATACCACAAAGCGCTACAGTTCATCCGCTCCCAACCGACACTGAATCCCTGACAGATTCGCTGGCTCGATTACCTCGAGTCCAACATTAACTATAGAGTCACGTACAAACGGGGGGTTAGCAACATCACCAACGCACTGACCCACCCTTCACTCCACACCGCCGCAGTCCTAATTACCTATGCTAGTCTACCGCTAATTGGCCTATTCACCCACAGATACACTACCGACCCATTCTTCACCACTAATAGTCATCCCCAACTGATGGTCAAGCAAAGGGTCTAATACTTAAAATCCGATACCAATCGGATTTGGGTTCCCGCCTACCGTACCCTACATGAACTACTAATCCAGGAGGCACATGACTCGAATTTCTCGGGTCACTATGGTATCGACAAAACCGCCAAATTACTGAGCCGCGATTATTCCTGACCTGATTTGTCGACTGACGTGCAGCAGTACGTCACCACCTGCGCCACGTCAACGCATGAAGTCTTCACGGCTTCGACCTGCTAGATTGCTGCAGCCGCTCGAGCCACCCAGCCGACCCTGGCAACAAGTGACGATGGATTTCGTCACTGGCCTGCCAAATGACCCAAGCGGTAACGACGCGATTCTTGTCGTTGTTGACCGGTTGACCAAGATGGCCCACTTCGCCGCCTGCAAGACAACGATTACTGCCGAGCAGACAATGAAACTGTTCCTCACAAACATCGTGCGGCTACACGGCATCCCATCGGCAATCATCACCGATCGTGACCTACGGTTCACGTCCAACTTCTAGACAAAAACCTGCAGCAGTGCGGCACACGCCTGCATCTGTCCACGGCGTACCACCCGCAATCGGACGGTCAGACTAAGCGCACCAATTAGACGATGGAGCACCTGATTTGCACGACATGTGCGAACCCGTCCCAATGGGAAGACTCCCTTCCCTTGATCGAGTTTGCGTACAACAACGCCCAATCAGCCACGACTACTCAGTCCCCGTTCTTCCTCAATCACGGGATAGATCCGACAACCCCGCTATCGCCACGGATAGAAAACCCGCCACCAAGATCTCAGCAGTTCATTGAAAATCTCCGGCAGTCTCCGCAAAAAGCCGCTGATGCCATGCTCAAAGCCAACCAGTGGGCTAAGAAGCAAGCTGACCGAAGATGCTGAGACTTAAAGCCCGACCAACAGGTTGCAACTCTTTTTTTCTCAAGATGCTGGTCGTGGGACTTTAAGCCCGACCATCCTGTAATTGAGCCCACCCGCAGCAGTGGTTGACAAGACTCAAACACCTAAACTCTGTACCTCGACAAACTTGGCAAGTTTGTGTCCCTGCCAAGTATTGAGGTGAACAAGCACGAAGTGTGCTCAGAGGGTAATTGTTCGTTCAAATTTTGACTTTCAGGCGGTTTAGCGCAAGTGTACCAATGTGTGTTTGATTGCACAAGGGCGAAACCGAAGCCCAATAGTTGAGTCTCGTTTCCCTTCAACTTGCCCTAACAAAAAAAATAAACGATATGGGCTGTTAGGCAAAACGCAGGCACGAAAACCCCCCTTGCAACATGGCAAAGAGGCATGTGTGAGTCCCCTGCCAAATGAAGGGGCTCAAATCCGACACCTTTGCCAGGTTGCGTAGCCCTTGGGAACTCCCGCGCAAGCACGAGGTGAACGAATATGAAGTTTCGCAAAAATATTTCGCTTATCTTTTTCCTCGTCAACCAATCGTAACCTGCCGCCCCACCTACTTCAACAGTACCAATATGCAATCTGCCGGTCGGGCTTTAATACTTGCCCCTGGGCAATTGGTCCTGCTAGATACCATAAATTTGGGAATTCCCCTCCCAAATAAATTACGACCAAGATTTTGCGGCCCATTCCGCATCATCCGCATGGTGACATCAGTCACCGCCCAGCTGCAACTACCGGCCGACTTGCGAATTCACGATTTATTCCACGTCAGTCTCCTGCGACCGTTCATCCCGAGTACAACGAATCCCGACCGTCAACACATCAATCCTACGGTCAACCCAGTACCCGTGCCAACGATCGAGCCATCCAAGATTCTCGCTCATCGCGTACGAGGCCATCGAGACACAGCAGCCGTTAATTTTCTTGTACGCTGGGTCGATCGCATGACTGACGAAGATCTTTGGGTCCCCGCAGCTATGCTCGGCGAACACAAAGTCGTCCGGGACTAATTACATCGACGATGTGTCTCGGATGTGGGTCGTCTCATCCTAGAAAGGGGGGTGGTGTAAGGAAATTTCCTTTTCCTTACTGGGCTTGACTACAGCGCGTACGCCCTCTACTCTCGGAAGTCCAGGCTCGGCCAACTTTCTTCGGTCCTGAACTATTTCGTGAAACCAAACCTAGACGCGCAGCGCTTCGGTGGCTTTTGCCAGCCGAACCGCCCCAACCTGTTCGCGTGGTTCTCGGCTAGCCCTGTTCGTGCCTATAAATGCCTAGGCCCTCATTTGTATCGACACTCTTTTGAATCAGGCTCCTTAATTACACTACCTGTTATTACTCTGATTAGTTCATAACAACTAGAATGATCTCCATTCAGCTTTCGACCAGTCATCCACCTACGGCCTCCTACTTCCACCTTCTCCTCTCTCCTCTGTAGCCGCTCATGAGAGACTTGGGGCATCGCCGATCCTCGCCAGTCGCTTGCTCTCCAAGCGACTCGGCTTCCGTGCGACTCTACGCCCCCCACGCCCGCTGAATCTATAGGGATCGGACGACATAAGATTTCGTGCGATTATCTGGTTCAGTTGGCAAGTTGCAGCTATCGGGACCTCCTCCTCAGATTCTGGCCTCGTGATTTTAATTACCTTCCCAAGAGTGATTTCGGTCCAACTCATTTCCGCGAGAGTGATAACGTACGCTGCGTCGTTTGTACTGGCGGCGATCGAGCTCTTTTGAGCAGCTGGTCGACGATCTACCACCTGTGACCGGCTCGCGCTTCGCCCTTCACACGCCTCGCTCTCTTCACCCTGCACCCTTCACCCTTCCTCCCCCCTCTTCAAGTCATCAAGCCAACATGGCTATCCCAGTAGACTCTAAGAACGTCCGGGCAGTTGAACTTTACTGCTGGCTGCCCGTAGCGCGCCGACTGGACGTCTGGCCCTTCGCCGTCGTGTACGCCGTCTGGCTGGCGCTGCTGGTAACCCGACTTCGCCTGGACTTCACGGAGATGGCGATCGTTACGGGCGCGCTCGTTTCGCTGAACATCCTGACGGCGCTGTTCACCGTGTGGTCCGTGGACTTCCGGTGCTTCGCGCACGCGCGCCAGGTGGGCAATTGGGGCGATGTAGATCTGCTGGCGTTGCGTTGCTCCGTAGGCGCACGCCAGGCGGGGAATCGGGATGTAGAACATAGATCTGACGGCGCTGTTCACGGTGTGTGGTCCGTGGACTTCCGGTGTTTCGCGTACGCGCGCTCGCCAGGTGGGGCAGTTGGGATGCAGGTCTGCTGGCTGGCGGTGCGTGGCATCGCAGCAGCACGCCAGGCGGGGAATCACGATGTAGATCTGCGAAGGTGCTCAGCGTGTGTGTGGTCCGTGGACTTGGGTTTGAGCCTGCATTCGGATCTGAATTTGGAATCGGATCAGAATCTGGATTCGAGTTTGGATTTGTATGGTTAGTTTAGAGTGCGTTTGGCTGGTGGTGAGTCTGCGGAGGCAGCCTGCTGAGGCTTGCGCTGGTTGGCTGAGAGGGAGCATGGGGTGAGAGGAGAATGGTGGCTAGTATGGGCCCTGTTGATCCTCAATTCCTGCTGTGTGTCTGTGCGTGCGTGCAATCCTTTGTGTGTGTGTGTGTGCGCGCGCGCGCGCGCGCGCGTGTGCGTGTGCGAGCGCGCTTGTGCGCATGTGCGTGCATGGTGTGCGTGGTGTGTGTGGTGTTCCTGCCACGGACTGCAGGTGTCATCAGTGCACGAAGCCGAGGTGTGCAAGGTGATCCCCTCCAAGTTCGGAGGCTCCAAGGAGGTCGTTCCCCTCACCAAGCGCCAGCATGTGAGTGCAGAAAGTAACACGCATGGTCGGTATGTGAGTGCAGAAAGTAACACGCATGGTCGGTATGTGAGTGCAGAAAGTAACACGCATGGTCGGTATGTGAGTGCAGAAAGTAACACGCATGGTCGGTTTGTGAGTGCACCTACACACTCACTTCACAGTGAGCATGTGAGTGGATGGGGAAGCACAGCGACAGGGTTCAGGTGAGTGGGTGGGTGGGAGGAGCATAGAGAGGCAGTGCCGGCCAGGAAGGGAGTTGGTAGCAGAGGATGGGAAACATGCTTGCCCTTCATGCATCGTGCCTTCTTTTGATTCAATCGTGTTTCGCCTTCACCCAGTTGCCAGCAGAGAAGCACCTTCTGGGAGCTGGGGGCAGCGCCTCTGGCGCCTCTGGCGCCTCTGGCGCCGCCGCTGCTGCTGCTGCTGCTGCAAAGAAAGAAGAGAAGGATAAAGGAGAGGGCGGCAAGGAAACGGAAGGAGAAAAAAGGACGAGCATTGTGAAAACGGCTGAGGAGAAGGAAAAGAGAAAGAGCGAGAAGGAGGGGGAGAAGGAGATGGAGAAGGAGGAGGAGGAGGTGAGGATGTGTTACCGGCGGCAGCAGTTTATGTACGACGAGGAGGAGAGGGTGTTTAAGAAGCTGCGGTTCCCGTCCAAGGAGACGTTTGGGGCGTACGTGCAGTGGAAGGGGTACGGCACGCACGCCAAGGTGGAGGCTGCTCGCCACCGATGGGGCAGAAACGCGTGAGACACCCTGCGGGGGGAACGGGGGGGAAGGAGACGAGGGGAGGGGGGAGGGGGGTGCAGAGGGATCGTATGGCGTTTTGGGATTAGGGTTTGGGGAATATGGGGCGCAGAATGCGTGAAGAACTTGGGGGATGGGGAGAGGGGGGAGGTGGAGGCTAAGGAGGTTTGGGGGACTACAGGTTGTGGGGTTCTGGGTGCATGCGTGTGGGGGGCGACATCTGGGGCGTGCGGCAGGGGCGTACGTGCAGTGGAAGGGGTATGGCACGCACGCCAAGGTGGAGGCAACGCACCACCGTTTGGGCAGAACGCCTGAGACACAGGGTGAGGGGGGGGAAAGGGGGTTGAGGAGGGGAGGGGGATTGGGGGCTTATGAGGGGGAGGTACAGGGGTTAATGGGAAGCAGGGGGCTGGGGGTCATTCGGTGCCGAGACATGTGAGGGGGGAGGAGGGATGGGGCTTCTGGGTTTTAGGGAACTAGGAGTTCAGGTTTACTGTTTTCTGGGGTCGGTTGATGGTCTTGGCGGTTGTGGGTGGGGTGTAACAGGGATGGGCGAATGGGCGAATGGGCGAATGGGCGAATGGGCGAATGGGCGAATGGGCGAATGGGCGAATGGGCGAATGGGCGAATGGGCGAATGGGCGAATGGGCGAATGGGCGAATGGGCGAATGGGCGAATGGGCGAATGGGCGAATGGGCGAATGGGCGAATGGGCGAATGGGCGAATGGGCGAATGGGCGAATGGGCGAATGGGCGAATGGGCGAATGGGCGAATGGGTGAATGGGTGAATGGGTGAATGGGTGAATGGGTGAATGGGTGATCGTGTGTGATTAGGTGAGTGCCCCTTGTGGCATTTGAGCCACAGGAATGGCCGTGTTAAGACGGGGTGAAGGGGAGCAAGCGCATGCAGGAAGCGTTTTCCAGGCTTGACGCTGGAGTGAAGGAGGTGAAAGGGGTGTGAAGGGGTGCTGAGGGGTGAAGGAGTGAAGGGCGTTGCAAACAGTGGACCTCTTTCTGTTTGAGCACTTCTCCAGAGATCCTGCACGCCCCCCTTCTCTGCTTTTGAATCGACTCAAAAGCATCCTGCACGTCCCCCTTCTCCTGTCCCACTCTCCCTCCTGCCCCACCGCCCTTGTCTTGCTTTAGCATTGCTGCCCTGCCCCTATCCCTGATTGTTATTTGAGCCCTCCCCCAACGTCGTCTCGTCTCCTTTGTTCTTTGCCTCGCATCTCTTCTCTTCCTCTCTCTCCATCCTCCTTCCACCCTCACACGCCCCATCGAAACCTTCCCCCCTCCCACCCCCCCCCTCCTCTCCCCCTCCCCCCTTCTCCCTCTCCCTCCCGTTGCTCCTTGAAACAACCCCCTTCAGGTTTGAGTTCCCTGCGCCCACCTTCCTGGCCCTCTTCAAGGAGCAGTGCTCCGAGCCCTTCTTCGTCTTCCAGGTCCGCTTGCACCGATGAAGCTCCCCTCTCGCGTGTGATAATACTCTAGTTGTGAGACAACTCAAATCTTAATTCAACGACCAGTGCTCCGAACCCTTCTTTGTCTCGTGCATGCATGCTGCTCCTGTTCAAGGAGTTCCCCTCCCACGCCCTCGAATGGAATTCCCCTCCCACGCCGTTTTGTACACCCCTCTCACGAGCTCGAGCTGCCTCCTCCCCTCCCACCCATGCCCTCTTGCACGCTTCCTTCCAAAACCCCACCACCCCGTTCTCATGCTGTTTTGGGCTCCTCCTCTCGTCTCTTCCCTCCTTCGCACTTCCTGTGGCGATTATTGTTTTTTCAGCTCCCCATCTCCCTCCACTTCCCCTCGTCAGCCATCTCGAGCTATACTGCGCGCCCTTTGTTGCGTGCGTCTAATGTTTTCCTCGCTCTTCACGCAGCTGTCCTCACGAAGCATGTGAAAGCAAGTCCGAGCACGACTGTTCATCAGACTCCCTAACGCTCCCTCCCTCCCACTCACCCTCCCCCTTCTGCCTTTTCCCTCCTTCGGGTGTTCTGCGTGGTGGCCCTGAGGTGCACGGACGAGTACTGGTACTACTCCATCTTCACGCTCCTCATGCTGCTCCTCTCTTGAGGCACTTGTTGAGAACAAGTCAAAGCACGGCGGTTTCTGAGGCTCCTCTATCCCCCCCCCCTTCCCCCCTTCTTCCTTCAGGTGTTCTGTGTGGCCCTGTGGTGCATGGACGAGTACTGGTACTACTCCATCTTCACGCTCTTCATGCTGCTCGTGTTTGAGTCCACCGTGGTGGCCAGCCGCCTGCGCACACTGAGCGAGCTCAGGCGCGTGCGCGTGGACACGCAGGGGATCCTGGTGCACCGCGAGGGCAAGTGAGTCGGGGGAGATGAGAGGGGAGGGGGAGATGTGGATGGGAGGGGAAGCTGGGAGAGGGGGGTAGCTGTCAGAATCTTGAAGCCTGAAACTCCAAACCCTGAACCCAAGGGGGCGTTTGATTTGAGTCGACAGTGTGGTGGCCAGCCGCCTGCACACCCTCAGCGAGCTGCGGAGGGTGCGAGTGGACACCCAGGGGTTTCTGGTGCACCGCGAGGGCAAGTAAGTTGGGAGAGGGCGGGGGGGGTGGAGGGGGAGGTATGAAAGGGAGGGGGAAGCTGGGAGATGGAAAATTCTATTCGAGTTAAGGCTTGTGGCAAGTAGAGCTCCGGTGTTCTCCTGTCCCATCCTCCCATTGTTGAGGGTTTAGCGACTCCTAAAATTTGGGACGGGAGTTCCGTTCGTTTGGAGCTACACCGCACGACGCTTGCCACACGGACCCAAGTGTACTGGACGCCCTGTCCTAAGATTCAACTCACGGAACCACATAAATGTTTTATGAAATTTGCATGCGGCACGTTGTGTAAAGCTCGCCAAACTCATCAACCACTTAATGTTCGCCAACATGCTGAGGGTAGGACAGTGTCAAATTATTTCATATGCCCATGCTCGGGACCACCTGCGCTGAAACTCCGCTCCACTTCCATGCTCCTTTTTGGTTTGCCACACTTGCCACAAGGACACTGGTCGCGAACAGTAGGTGAAATGAGGTATGCGACAGGCTTCCGGCTTCTCTGCTCCCGTGTCGTCGTTTCGGTCGTTGTGGTTTTACTTGCCACACGCCCTTGAAGCTTTATACCCGAAACCTAAAGCTCAACGCTTGACCCGAAGTTAGTGTTGTCAGTCGACGGTGGTGGCCAGTCGCCTGCGCACTCTCAGCGAGCCCAGGCACGTGCGCGTGCACTCCCAGGGGATCCTGGTGCACCGCGAGGGCAAGTGAGTTTGTTTTCTCCGGGACGGTAGGTGGGAGAGGGGGAGGGGGTGGGAGGGGAGGAGGGGAGGAGAATGCGTGAGGAAGAGGCTGGGCTGGGACGGGGACAAGGAAGGAAGCGAGAGCAGAGTGAGGGGAGGGAGAGGAGAGGAAGATAGTGACCTGGGGGTAAGGAAGGGAGCAGCCAGATGAGCATGACTGGGTGAGTGAGACTATGTTTCCCTTCATGACTGATGAGCATGACTGAATGCAGTTCAAGCTTTACTCGTGCCCTTCATCACGCTCCTCTTTCCCCCCACCACCCACTCACCCCCTCAGGTGGCTCAACCTCACGGGTCCAGACCTGGTGCCAGGAGACATAGTGTCTATCGGCCGCACTGCTGCTGGTCACGCGGCCGGGGCGGGGGCAGGGGGGAAGGGGAAGGCAGGACCAGCAGCAGGAGGGGCAGTGGAGGATCGGACAGTGCCGGCTGACCTGCTGCTGCTGGCAGGAACTGTGATTGCCAACGAGGCGATCCTCACAGGGGAGAGCACCCCGCAGTGGAAGGTGAGTGGACGGGAGAAGCCGATGGGAGTGGGGTGTGGGAGGGTGTGTGGACAAGGGAGGAGGAGGTGGGAGAAGGGGGAGGGGGGGGTGGGTGAGGGTAGGTGGGAAGGATGGTGGGGGAATCAAGAACGAGAGGATGCTGATGTATTGGGAAGGTCGTTGGCCATGTCACGTGTCACGTGTCAGAGTCAGAGTCAGAGCTGCAGTGTCCTGAAATCGCTTATTCCTTCCTCCTTCCCTTGTTTTAGGAATGTCGCTTATCTCTTCTCCCGTTTCTCTTCCCCTGCCCGCCCTCGTTGCCCTTCTTAAGCCATCCTGCACCGTCCACTCTTTTCCCCTGGCTCCCCATTTGCATTCCACTTACCTGCCCTAGATGCCGCCCCTCTTCTCCCCCATACCCTCGTTCGCCCTCCATCCATCTCTCTCCCCTACTTCATTTCCTCCCTATACCTCCTAACCTGCATTTCTCCCCATATCCCCTCCCTTGCATTTCTCCCTGTATCTTTCTCCCACACCTCTCCCCCCATCCCCCTGCGGCCTGCCTCCCGACCCCAGACGCCAGCATCCACCCGGGAGGGCAGCGAGCGGGTGTCGGTGCGGCGGGACAAGGCGCACGTGCTGTTCTCAGGCACCAAGATCCTGCAGCACACGCCCGATAAGGTGGGGGAGCAGATGTAGTGAGGGGGGGTGGGGGGAATGTACCGGGCTAGGGTGGGGGGAAGGCACGGGGTGGGCAGAAGCAGTGGGCATCTGCCGAGAAGGCGCACGTGCTTTTCTCCGGCACCTAGATTGTGCAGCACACGCTGGATAAGGTGGGAGAGATGGGAGAGGTGGAAGGAGGGGAGCGGGGTGTTAGGGTGGGGGGGAAGGGACGGGGCGGGAAGAGATGGAGACAGGGTGGAATACAGCAGGAGAGGACGGAGGGAGGGAGGGATCGAGGGTGGGGTAAGGGTGGGGGGAGGGTGGAGTGGAGGGCAACAGGGGTGATGGTGGGATGGTGAAAGCGTATGGGAGAGGCAGAAGGTCAATGGGCGAGCTATCTACTTCCGTAGGCCTTGCTGGAAGTTGTTCGTGGGTGAGTTTCTAGTATCTGTGCATATATATGTCCCCCTGTCGGTTTTTCCAGAATTCTGAGGAATGAAGTCCCTCCGTCGCACTCGCCTTTCCTTTCTCAGCCTGGTGTCCCTTCAACTCTGCCACCCACGCCCGTTCCCTCCCACCCACTCTTCCTCCCTCGCACTTCATGTTGCATCAACACTTGATTTCCGTCATCATGCTTCACCATCCTGCTTCACCATCCTGCTTCTGTTTCAAACTCTTTTTATGTCATCCTTTCACGCCATTCCCCATGCTGCCACGTTTGTGTGTGGTATGGAGTGACGTTATCCATACATGTGCGTCGTGTGATGCCATGCTGCCATGATGACATACGTGCCTGTGTAATGCTATGCTGTCGTTCGTGGGTGGATGCATGCATGTGCGATGTGCCACACTTCCATGCATGCCTGGTGCCTGCAGACAGCAGCGATCAGAGCACCAGACGGGGGGTGTGTGGCAGTGGTGCTGCGAACGGGCTTCGACACCAGCCAGGGCAAGCTCATGCGCACCATCCTCTTCTCCACCGACCGGGTGCGTATGTCCATCCCTCCCTCCCTCCCTCCCTCCCTCCCTCCCTCCCTCCCTCCCTCCCTCCCTCCCTCCCTCCCTCCCTCCCTCCCTCCCTCCCTCCCTCCCTCCCTCCCTCCCTCCCTCCCTCCCTCCCTCCCTCCCTCCCTCCCTCCCTCCCTCCCTCCCTCCCTCCCTCCCTCCCTCCCTCCCTCCCTCCCTCCCTCCCTCCCTCCCTCCCTCCCTCCCTCCCCCCCCTCCCTCCCTCCCTCCCTCCCTCCCTCCCTCCCTCCCTCCCTCCCTTCCTCCCTCCCTTTCTCTCCCCGTCCGTTCTGTCACTGTCTCGTCTATATGCCCTCCCCGGTGAATGGCTGCCACACAAAGCACGTGACATCAGCCAGGCCAATCTCGTGCACGCCATCTCCTGTCTGTCCGTCCCTCCATCTGTCTCTCTGTTGCTGTACCCCGTTGTGTCTCTGTCCGCTCTGTATGCTTGATGCTTTCGATGACTGTCACGCAAAGCCCCGAACCCGTGCTGCTCATGCCAGACTCATTCGCACCATCCTCATCGCCCATCCTCATCGCCCACTCTCTCCCGCACCCTATCCCCCCCCCCCCACGCCTGTGCTATGCCTCACCAGGTGACGGCCAACAGTGCGGAGAGCGGGCTCTTCATCCTCTTCCTTGTTGTCTTCGCCGTCGTTGCTGCTGGCTATGTGCTGCACAAGGTGGGTGCACTGCACAAGCTGATGCCTGCACAAGCTGATGCCTGCACAAGCTGATGCCCATAACCCCCGCCCTTCCCTCCCCTCCCCATATTTGCCCACCTGTTCCGCTCTTTGCAGACTCGACCCCCAATTTGCCTCCGCGCTTCTTATTTGCGAGCTGCTGCCTCCTGCCCTTCCGCGAGCTGCTTACCATTCCCCCTTTCTGTCTCCATCTCTCCTCCCACGCCTCTCCCTCCCCACCCTCCTCTCCCTCCCACCCCTCTTTCCCCCTCCTCCCACTCATCCGTTCCTCCCCCCCCAACCCCTATCAGGGTTTGGAGGACCCGCATCGCAGCCGCTACAAGCTGTTCCTCAACTGCTCGCTCATCATCACGTCCGTCATCCCGCCCGAGCTGCCCATGGAGCTCTCCATCGCCGTCAACACCTCGCTCATCGCCCTCGTGCGCCAGGGCATCTACTGCACCGAGCCTTTTAGGATCCCATTTGCCGGCAAGGTGCGTATGTGGGAGCGCGCATGTGTGCACACATGCGATGGCATGCACCCATGGAGCTCTCCCATGCCGTCAACACGTCCCTCACCATGTGCGCCAGGGAATTTATTGCACCGAGCCGCTCAGAACCCCCTTTGCCAGCAAGGTGCGTACATGGGTAGGGATGTGCAAATGAACTATGACCAGCCGTCAGCACCTCGCTCATCGCTCGTGCGCCATGGCGTCAACTGCACCGAGCCTTTCTGAATCCCTTTTGCTGGCAAGGTGCGCTCGGATTTGCATGCATGCATGATATGTGATGGCATGTGCAGACCAGCTCTGCATAGCTGTCAACACCTTGCTCATCGCACTCGGGCGCCAGGGCATCTAATGTACCCAGCCGTTCAAAATTCCGTTTGCCGGCAAGGTGCGCGCGGATTTGCATATGTGCATGTTATATGATGGCATGTGTTTATATGACGGCATGTGTTTATATGATGGCATGTGTTTATATGATGGCATGTGTTTATATGATGGCATGTGTTTATATGATGGCATGTGTTTATATGACGGCATGTGTTTATATGATGGCATGTGTTTATATGATGGCATATGTTTACATGATGGCATGCGCACATCGTGTGTCTAACACTAGCCATGAGCACCTTGCTCATCAGGTAAAGCCTCGATTGGACCGGGGCGTTCTGGGCCTTGCCAGATTCTCCTTTGCGCGGAAGGTGTTTTGCTGGGACTTGCTTAAGAGACGTCAGGTCACTTTGATGCGTCAACTTTCGTTGGTATCTGCAGCACAGCCATCAGTTCACAGCCAAAAATGATTCTACGACAAACAGTGCACTTTCAGAGAGCTTTGCATCGACATGTCTCCGTGGATATGTCTCACATGTGCTGCATATGAGTGCCTTGGTGCATCTGTCCCCCCGCCGCCCCTCCCGCCCCTCCCCCCCTGCAGGTGGACATCTGTTGCTTTGACAAGACTGGCACCCTCACTTCAGATGACATGGTAGGACGCTTTTGCCTTAGATGCATCGACCATTCACCAAGGTTCAAAAATACGGTTTTCGAAAAATACGGTCCGTATTATTCGGCCGTTTTTTTCGGGGATTTTTTGAAAAAAACGCCGTTTTTTAAATAGAGCATCTTTTTTTTTTTTTTTTTTTTTTTTTTGCTCGACAGCCTAATCGTCTGCCATTCGTCCGCCCAAATGCGAGATCCGCGCATTTCGACGGGCGAAATGTCAGATCTGCGTATTTTGGCTGACAAAACGTCAGATCCATGCATTTCGTCCACAAAAAACGCAAAATCTGGCACATTTTGGTGGGAAAAATGCCAGATCTGTGCATTTGGGCAGGCAAAATGCCAGATCCGCGCATTTCGTCCGATTTTTTTGCACTTTTTTAAATATTTCGGCCGTTTTTTTTAACCAACCTATTTTTGCACAATTTTCACCGTTTTTTTCGTATTTAACGGCCGTTTTATTCGATACCGTTTAATACGGTATTTTTTTGAAAAAAACGGCGTTTTTTTTAACCCTGCCATTCACATGCGCCCAATTTTGAGATGCCTCAAAGTCCTTGTTTTGGAGATGTCTCAAGACTGGCACCCTCACGTCTGGTAACATGGTGTGATGCCCCTGCCGCTGCTGCGTCTTCCGCGCCCTCGCCGTTCATTTTCCCTCCTCCTGTCTCTCCTCCCTCGCCTCCCTCCGCTCCGCTCTCCAGCCAACCCACAAACCCCCCCCCCCCCCCCCCAACTCCCCCACCCTCGTAGTACAGGAATCGGTTTTTGTCCGCCCATCATCTCACCCGTCTCTCCCTTTCTCCCCTTCAGGAGTTCCGCGGGGTGGTGGGGGCGGAGGGGGGGGGCTCCCTGGACCTGTCCACAGACTGCCATCGCTTCCCGCTGCCCACACTGCTCACCCTTGCCGCCTGCCACTCCCTCGTCTTTGTCGACAACAAGCTGGTCAGTCTCGTTATGTCGGTTCCCTCGCTTTGCTCTGCTCGCCCTTCTCCTGCTGCTCACTCTGCTCACCCTCGCTGCCTGCCACTCCCTCGTCTTCGTCTTTGAGGCGATTCTTAAGTCATGTCCTCCTGCTGTGCACCCGCTCACTCTCTCTGTTCCTGCCGCTCACTTGTCTTACTTCACAACAAGCTGGTCAGCTGCTCTCTCGGTCTCGCTCCTCCGTTGATCAAGCAGCCGGCATGAGAGCATGAGATACAGCAGCCATTGTTTATGCTTCCCACCCCACCCCCTCTCTCCCTCCCCTTCCCCCCCCCCCCCCCCCCTTTTTTTCTTCTCATGTAAATGGACGGATGTTGTTTTCCCTTCCATGACTGCTTGGCCTATCCTGACGTTTGAGGCGCCTCAAAAGGCATGACTTGCAAGGCTTCGCTGCCTCGCAAGGCTTTCTCCACCATGGTTAACTCTGTTGACCTTCCATGCGTCTCATGCCCTCATTGACCCTCAATGATCTCGATCTGGATGGCCTCATTGACTACCATTGACTAGGTTGACTTTCCCAGCTCGCAGCACCGTTTGGTTGAACCAACCCTTTTCTTTTCCCCCTCCCATCTCTCCCGTCTTCCTCTTGTTCCCCTCTCCCTGGTGCCCCCTCTCCTCGTCTCGCCCCCCGTCCTTCCCTCCTCCCCCCCTCTTCTGTCTTGACACCAGGTGGGGGACCCTTTGGAGAAGGCAGCGCTGACTGGCGTTGACTGGGGCTTCACTGCTGAAGAGAAGGCGCACTCCAGAAAGTGAGACCTGGGTGCTCGTACTGCCACGCCACGCCACGCCATGCCATGCCATGCCACGCTGGCATGCGAGTGTGCAGGCATGCATGCATGCACACCACACCACGCACATAATTTGCACGCACACATGCTTGCAGACGAGCATGCACCATGCACACACAGGTATGTGCGTATCATGCCCTCTTCCTTTTTTTGAGGCGTCTCAAAACTGCCCTCTTCCCCATCCCACCCTTCCACTCTCCCTCCCCCCCCCCCCTGTGACACCAGGGGCGTGCACCACGAGGCGGGCATCATCTGCCGGCACCACTTCGCGTCGCACCTCAAGCGCATGGCCGTTATAGCGCGCGTGGACAACGAGCCTGGCTTCATGGTGCTCGTCAAGGTGAGGAAGGAAAGGGGTGCGACGGCGGGGTGGTGGGGGGATTCGACATGTGGAACGGAAGAAGCCTCCTCTTGTCTGGAGTTGTCTCCTCAGCTACGATAGTGTCGCAAGTAAACCATGGATCCCTCCTCTGCCCCCCCCCCCCCCCCCCCCCCCGGCTAATCCGTCCTCTCTTCTCCACCCAACCCCCTCTTTTCTCACGCCGTAACTCTCTCTTCCCCCATTCCCCCAACCTCTTATCTCCTCCTCTCCCGCTCCCAGGGCGCCCCCGAGACGATAATGGAGCGGTTGAGCGAGGTGCCGATGGGTTACAGTGCGGCGTACAAGCAGTTCACCCGCCAGGGGGCACGAGTGCTCGCCCTCGCCTACAAGCCGCTGCCTGACATGACGGTGAGAGGGGGTGGAGGGGGGGAGATGGTCAGAGGGAGGGTGAGGGGTGGAGATAGGAACCCATCGGGGCGGTGGGTGTGAAAAAGGGGGGCGTGCGGGCTACAAGCCACTGCCAGAGACGACGGTGAGGGGGGGAAATGGAGAAGAGGGGCATTGAAAGGGGGAGGGGGAGGGGGAGGGGGGGAGAGGAAGGGGCGGAGGGGAGAGGGGTTGAGTGGGTGTGGAGGTGGAGGGGTGCAGTGTTATAGTTGATTCGAGGGAGGGGAGTAAGGTTGTTGTGATGGGAGGGGTGAGAGCATGCATGCTCGCCCTCGTCTACAAGCCACTGCCAGACATGACGGTGAGGAGGGGGGGTTGGGGGTGGAGGGGGGGAGACGATGAGATGAGTGTGAAGGGGAGATGGGGTGAGGTTGGGCAGGCGAGATATGGTTGGAATGGAGGAGGGCACTATGGCTCCGTGCAGGGTGCAGGGTGCAGGAAGGGATGGGTGGGAGTGGGGTTCTAGGGGTGAGAGGTTGGTCTGGGTTGGGCTGGGTTGGACTGGGTTCGACTGGATTGGGTAGGGTTGGATATGGTTGACGGGGGAGGAGCCATGGCTTTGTGCAGGATATATGGTGCCATGCAGGGTGCATGCTTTCCCTCCGTTGTGAGTGCGAGACTGTCGTCTTCGCCCTCCGCTAGTCACGAATGACATCACGAGTCAAGAGTCACTCTCCACCCCCCTCTGCCCCTCTCCGCCCTTTTCTCCCCCTCTCCGCCCCTCTTTGCCCCTCTCTGCTCCACCGAGGTGCTTCGCTGTGTGGGGGTGGGTCGGACTATAAATGGGTGTGAATGGCGGGGAATGCACTGCAATGTGCTGCGCTGTGGACCGATGGGAATGGTTTTTGTCTGTATTTGTGCATGGGTGTGAGTATGCGTGTGCTTCTCCGTGTGTGTTGCAGGTGACTGAGGCCAGAGCTCTAGAGCGCGATGACGTGGAAAGCAACCTCACATTCGCTGGCTTTGCGGTAAACATGCACACACAGAGCCAGACTCACATGCACACACATAGGCACACACACAGGCGTCTACACATGCAAACACATAGGCACACACACTGCGACGATGCATTGGACAGCAGTGAAGTGTGTGATCTCATTGCACCACACTCAACCACGCTGAATTACTTGCAACATGATCTCCAACTCCCAGTTCCTTTCCAATTGTCCTCCAGCGAGCACTGACTAGTTTTCTGTCGACTCAGAGCACTCACTTGCACACACGTGCACAACGACATGTGAGTTTGAGTGAACTCCTCCATACATGCCCCTGGCCCCTGCACATGCCCACACACATGTGTCTGCACACAGACATGCCCTTTCCTTCTTTCTTGACGCACACCACCATTTCGTCTCCATTCTCCTTACTTCCATTCCATCCCCCCTCCCATCCCACCGGTCCATCCCCCCTCCCATCCCACCGGTCCATCCCCCCTCCTTCCATCCCCCCCTCAGGTGTTTGCATGCCCCATCCGTTCTGACTCCGCCGCTGTACTCGCTGAGCTCAGGCACTCCTCCCATGACCTGGTCAGTCTACTTCTCCTCACTCTCTCATTCCTTCCTCCCTCCCTCCCTCCCTCCCTCTCTCCCTTACTTCCTTCCTCCCTTCCTCCCATGATCTGGTCAGTATTTCGACCCCTCTGCCTGCTTCGTCTCTTGCATTCATAAGCATTCTTTCCCCCCTGCCTGCCTGCCTCATTCCCTTCTCACCCCCCTCTTCCCTCTCTTTCATCTTCCCCCCCCCCCCCCCTTCTCCCCTCCCCCCACTGGCCCCCTTCGCCCCTTCTCCGTCTGTCGGGTGATGATACTGGGCGACTAAGCTCTGACAGCATACATTGTACATGTCACAAACATTCTGCGGATGTCTCCTCCCCCTCACGCTCTCATCCTCTCCCTCCCGCCGCCTTTACTCTGCATCAGGTGATGATAACGGGCGATCAAGCGCTTACAGCATGCCACGTGGCGGGGCAGGTGAACATAGTGACTCGCCCCGTGCTCGTGCTTACTCCTGCTGCTGACGGCGGCTTCAACTGGTTGTCACCGGACGAAGTCACGTGCATGCCTTATAGGTGCGTGGGATGGGGTGGAGTGCGGTCGAGATAGAGTGGAGTGGTGTGGAAAGGTGTGGCGTGCTGTGGGGAGGGTGTTTGTCATTTGCCATGCTGCTGATGGCGGCTTTAACTGGCTGTCGTCGGATGAACTCATGTGCATGCCTTATAGGTGCGTGGGATGGGGTGGAGTGCGGTCGCGATAGAGTGGAGTGGTGTGGAATGGTGTGGCGTGCTGTGGGGAGGGTGTTTGTCATTTGCCATGCTGCTGATGGTGGCTTTAACTGGCTGTCGTCGGATGAACTCATGTGCATGCCTTATAGGTGCGTGGGATGGGGTGGAGTGCGGTCGAGATAGAGTGGAGTGGTGTGGAATGGTGTGGCGTGCTGTGGGGAGGGTGTTTGTCATTTGCCATTCTGCTGATGGCGGCTTTAACTGGCTGTCGCCGGATGAACTCATGCCTTATAGGTGCGTGCATTGGAGTGGGGTGGATATGGAATGGAGTGGATTGGGGTGGAGTGACATGTTGTGGGGAGAATGTTTTCGGTGTCCCTGCTGCTGGTGGCGGCTTCAGCTGGCTGGCTGTCACGAGATGAAGTCACGTGCATGCCTTTTAGATGCGTGGGATGGGGTGGATTCTGGAATGCATTATTGTAGGGAGAGTGTTTGTAGGTTTCCCTGCTGCTGAAGGCGGCTTCAACTGGCTGTCTCCTTATGAAGTCAGGTGTATGCCTTACAGGTGATCTTGGCTTTAAGCCTGTGCATCCCTTGTTACAGGTGCGGAAAGTGGAGTGGAGGAGCGGAGTGGGGTGTTACAGGGGGATGTTTGTAACTTGCCCTTATTTCGTGGTCCACTCCATGGTCCACTCCACTCCACATCACTTCTACCATCCCCTCGTTTCCACCCACTCTCCCTGCCACAGCCCTTCAACATGCCATCCTCTGTCGGTCCCCTCCCCATCCCTGCCCCTCTAATGTCTTGTAATCCCTCGGCCCTTTGTCGAAACACTTTTCCCTGCCTACCTGCGGCCCCCCGCCCCTCATCACTTTGACGGCCCGTGTGGAGCAGGGAGGAGGAGGTGGAGGGCGTGAGTGAGGAGTACGACCTGTGTGTGGCAGGCGATGGCATCGCCATGCTGCAGCGCTGCAACGCGCTCTCCCTTGTCATCCCGCGCACGCAGGTTCGTGTAGTGTGTGCGCAGTGTGTGTGTGTGGTGTGTGTGTGTGCGTGCGTGCGTGTGTGCGTGTGTGCGTGTGTGGTGTGTGGTGTGTGCGTGTGTGCGTGTGTGCGTGTGTGCGTGTGTGCGTGTGTGGCGTGTGTGGCGGGTGCGTGCGGGCGTGCGGGCGTGCGTGCGGGCATGCGTGCGTGCGGGCGTGCGGGTGTGGTGTGTGTGTGCGTGACACGTGCGTGGTGTGTGCGTGTGTGGTGTGTGCGTGTGTAGTGTGTGCGTGTGTGTTGTGTGCGTGTATGGTGAGTGCGTGTGTGAGTGTATGCACGAGTGGCATGTCGTATCTGTTCTGAGTTAGGGTGCCTTTTTGAAGTGCCTCAATGCCTGGTGGGATCTTATGCAGATCCACTCCGATCCCACCAGCGCCACAAAACGTGAGCTGGGGTCGTGGCCCTGCAATGGGTTGGTGGGCTGTGATGAGTTTATGTTGTTAAGTCGCAATTCCCTTCGGTCTCCCCTCCTTCCCTCCTTCCCTCCTTCCCTCCTTCCCTCCTTCCCTCCTTCCCTCCTTCCCTCCTTCCCTCCTTCCCTCCTTCCCTCCTTCCCTCCTTCCCTCCTTCCCTCCTTCCCGCCTGCCCGCCACGGCCCTGGTCCCCACTTTAACCAGGTGTTGCCCGCGTCTCCCCCAAGCAGAAGGAGGTGATCCCAGCAATCCTAAAGGACGCTCGTGTGTGGCGATGGCACCAACGAACGATGTGGGGGCGCCCTCAGGCACATGCACGTCGGTGTGCCATTGCCTCTCTCCTCCCCCCATACCCCCGCCCCCCCCTCCTCCCTACCCCACCTCCCCCGGCAGGTGTTCGCCCGAGTCTCCCCAGAGCAAAGAGAAGTGATTCTAGCAACGCTTAAGGACGTGGGGCGCGTCACACCTCATGTGTGGCGGCGGCACCAATGACATGAGGGCGCTCAAGTCTTCGCAGCACATGTCGGAGTGCCATTGCCTTCCCCCCCTTCCTGGCAGGTGTTTGCCCGGGTCTCCCCAGAGCAGAAGGAAGTGATTCTAGCAACCCTCAAGGACGTGGGGCGCGTCACGCTCATGTGTGGCGATGGCACCAACGACGTGGGGGCGCTGAAGCGCGCGGACGTGGGCGTTGCTCTGCTCAATGCCGTGCCGCCTGCACCCACCAAAAGTTCAGGGGACGCTGCTGCAGGTGGGTGGATGGATGGGGGTGGGTGCAGTAACTATGCGGCTGGTTGCTGGTTGGGTGAGCACTCAAGCGTACAGACGTGGGCGTTGCTCTGCTCAATGCCGTGCTGCCTACCCCCACCAAAAGTTCAGGGGACGCTGCGGCAGGTGCGTGGGTGGGGCGGATGGGGCGGATGGGGTGGATGGGGCGGATGGGGTGGGTGGGGTGGGTGGGGTGGGTGGGGTGGATGGGGTGGATGGCAGGAATCCGGGAGATGCAGTGGCAGGTGGGTGGGCGGGCGGGCGGGCGGGTGGCTGGTGATGGCTGCTTTGAAGTGGTGATGGCACCAATGTCTCGGGGAAGATTCTTCCCCTGTTCCCTGCTGAACCTTACTTCCCCCCCCTCCCCTCTCCTCCCCTCCCCTCCCCTCCCCTCCCTGCCTTTTCCTCTAGGGCATGGGAAGCACAAGAGGAGGCCCGGGCAACCCCACGCCGCGTCAGCAGCAGTGGGAGGAGCCTCGGGGGCCACCGCAGGCGGATCCCTTGCCTCCGCTGCAGCAGGCAGCAGCACAGCAGCAGCAGCAGCAGCAGCAGGGGGGCCAGGTAATGCGAGGCTGTCGGCGCGTGAGTTGCACCAGCGCAAGGTGAAGGAGCAGCAGGAAAAGCTGCAAAAGCTGATGAAGGAACTTGAGGACGGTGGGGACGGGCGAGCCCCGGTAGTGAAGCTAGGGGATGCCTCCATGGCGTCCCCTTTCACAGCCAAGCACGCCTCTGTGAAGCCCACCCGGGACATCCTCCGACAGGGCCGCGCGACACTGGTTACCACGTTACAGATGTTCAAGATCCTCGGCTTGAACTGCCTCGCGACCGCGTACGTGATGTCGGTGATGTATCTCGACGGGGTGAAGCTGGGGGACACTCAAGCGACTATCTCTGGGGTGTTCACAGCAGCCTTCTTCCTCTTCCTCTCGCAAGCCAAGCCCCTCAACACCCTCTCCCCGGAGCGCCCGCATCCGAACGTCTTCTCAGCCTACGTCCTCATCTCCATCCTCGGACAATTCGCCATCCACCTCACATTCCTCATGACTGCTGTCTCCTGGGCGCAGACCTACATGCCCGAGGAATGCATCGAGCCCGACTCCACCTTCTCACCGAACCTCGTCAATACGGTGTCCTATATGGCAAACATGATGATCCAGGTGGCCACGTTTGCGGTGAATTACATTGGGCACCCGTTCAACCAGAGCATCCGGGAGAACACGCAGTTTTTCTACGCGCTCTCCGCCGCCGCGGTGTTCTTCACGGTGGTGGCATCGGACACGGTGCGCGAGCTGAACGACTCCCTAGAGCTGGTGAAGCTGCCGCAGCCGCTGGGCGTGTCTTTGCTTGGCATGGCTGCGCTCATGTTTGTGGGGTGCTATGCGTGGGAGCGCCTGCTGCGCTGGTGCTTCCCTGTTCGACCCGTGGTTCTGCGCGGTGCTGGTGGTGGCCGGGGGCGTAGGAAGAGTGCAGGCGGGGGGATTGGTGGTGGTGCTGGTGCTGGTGAAGGGGGGATAGGGGTTGTGAGGGATGGGGCGAGTGGTGGTGTTGGGGATGGGATTTTACAAAAGAAGTATGCTTGACGGGAGTTGTCGTCGTCAGTTCCTCCCACATGCGGAAGTTCCTTGGCTCAACGGAGAAGTAATACTGGTACCTATTGCTAATAACTCGTGCTAGGGTGTCTAGTCTAGGCGGCGAATGTTTTTTATGCAAAGGCTTCTAGACACATCAGCATGGGGCATGGCGGGCACATGAGAGGTGGTGCAGTGAGCTAGAGATTTCAACAGTATGACCTGAGCCCTAAACCAAGAGAGATGTGCTAGGGCTTTCTCAAAATTGGGTACACATGCCTAGATGCCGTAAGATTTCAGCCAAAAAAAATCATTTTAATTCGACTGGTAGTATTATCCACGTTGTCCCATAAGATCCATAAAATATACAAGACGGTGTAGGTTGAAGGTTGCACTAGTAGTGGGGAGGTGTCCAGGTTATGATTAGCTGATGTGGCAGGCAATCCGGACCAGGAGCTTGCCTCCACATCTGCTTCAGCATCAAGAGAGCATCCCCCTCTCTCTCCACCCTCTTATCCACGTTGTAGTATAATTCATACTTAGCATTTCTGTATGTCGTTTATCGATAGATCGTGTCGAATCCTACTGTAGAAGATAAGTCCGTAGGATGATGTCAGCAAATAGTGCTCGTCATAGGACAGTCGTTTCAGTAACGCGAACAGTCGCATCTCTTCATTATCATCTAGGGCGCATAGCGCGATAGTGACGAACAGGTACATTAGCGAATAGTTACCTTGCTGAGCCATAAAATCATTGTTGTGTCTTTTTATCATCAACCTTGAGATTTCAACTTTGAAGAACTTTGCCTTAGAACTGAAAGGATTCTTGAGTAGAGAGAGAGTACAAGGAAATATACCTAAGTGTTGTACCCTCTAGGAGGTGACCCTATACAGTCTATGCAAACATAACAGATACACATGTTTGACACACCCCCTAGACTGCATAAGGGCAGGTCCTGAACAAGCAGCTCAGGGCGGCACTACTAGTCCAGCCACTGAGACAAGGGTCTAAAAGACCAGTCAGAAGGAGTACAGGCAAGGCAAGAACAAGACGGGGGCGGCACTACTAGTCCAGCCCCTGGGAAAGGACACAAGTCCAGTCTGAGTACATATAGATATATAGGACAGTACAAAGTCAAGGCCCTAGCAAGTGAGAGGCTACAGGAACTAGACCAAGCTGTACACAGCGCCGCTGATGATCTTTAGGCGCAAGCGCCTTCGTAAAGATATCAGCCGTGTTGGCACCGGAGGCCAAGTGTACTACGCGTGCCTGGCGGCGCTGCTGTAGCTCGCGCAGGAGGAAGTACCGCAGCTGGATATGCTTCGCTCTGACCTCGAGTCGTGGCTCCTGACACAGGAGGATCATGGCCCTGTTGTCAGCGTACAGGACCGGGGCAGAGCTAGGCCGCTCACCTAAGTCAGTGAGCAAGAAGGTCAGCCAGCGGAGCTCTTGTGCCGCCATGGCACCAGCGTAGATCTCGGCCTCACAGCTGGACTGGGCAACAGACGACGAGCGGGTAGCTCTCCACGAGACGGCACCTGAACCAAGGCTGAAGCAGTAGCCCTGAGAAGACCTGAGTGTCTCGGCGTCGTCTGCCCAAGAAGCGTCTGTGTGTCCAGTAAGGACCACTGACCTGCGTCCTCCTAGCACTAACCCCATGCCCGATGTACTTGCAACATAACGCAAAACCCTCTTAGCGCCAGACCAGTGCTGCGGTCGGTGTCTGCCTGTGGCCACAAAGCGAGTCAGGATGCTGAGAGGGTATGCGAGATCTGGGCGAGTGCAAGTCATCAGGTACAAGAGGCAACCCATCAGGTACACGTGGGCTGTGCAGACGAGAACTGAAGGCCGAACCTCTGAAGGACCTGGCGCACCAAGTGTGCCTGAGTCAAGGTGATGGTGTGCGCTGCTCTGTCCCTGGAGATCTGCAAGCCAAGGTAGCGGCACAGTTCTCCAAGATCAGTGCAAGTGTGTCTCTTCAGCAGCTCTGCCTTCACGGAGGACAGTGCGTCCTTGTCTGCTGTGGCAAAGACCAGATCGTCCATGTAGACAAGGATGTAGAACGGAGTCTGGCCAGCACGAACGAAGAGTGAGGGGTCTGCGGAAGACGGGAAGAACTGCACGTCAGCAAGCGTGGCACGCAGCGTGTCGTGCCACTCACGGAGAGCCTGCCGCAAGCCGTAGACGGGACGCCGTAGGAGCCACTTGGTCCCAGGAGGGAAGGTGCCAGTGAAGCCCTGAGGGTGACGCAGGTAGACCTGCTCGTGTAGGCTGCCCTGAAGGAAGGCAATGGAGAAGTCGATGGAGTGAAGCTCGTAGTCTCGCTGAGCAGCTAGGTGTAACAGAACCCGAAGAGTAGTCATCTTCGGGGTCGGAGCAAAGGTCTGGAAGAAGTCCACCCCCTCACGCTGACTGAAGCCTCTAGCGACGTAGTGCGCCTTGAAGACAGGCGGTTCTCCAGGAGGGCGCTTCACCTTGAAGAGCCAGCGGCCATCGACTACGTTCACCCCAGGTGGGGGAACTGCGTCGACGAAGGTGCCGGTGGATCTCCAAGATGCCATCTCCTGCTCCATGGCAGCTATCCACTGCGAGGCCCAGGGTCCCGAGACCGCCTCAGCGTAAGTGCGAGGGGTCGGGATGTCGAAAGCGTGTGGGTCACCCTTAGGGACTAGCAGCATGGAACAGAGATGGGGAGCAGCCTCGGACAGGAAAGCAAGCTCGAACTGGCAGTCCTCCAAGCGTCACTGTCGAGGGCAGGAGCACCCCCGACAAGTGGAGGACAGGCAGGGTCAGAGACTAGAGCGGTGGCGTAGTCAAGGCGGCGTGTAGAGGCGAAGTCAGCGACCGCAGCGACAAGAGCGTCAAGACACGAGACCGGAACAGACGGGTCGGTAATGAGAGAGGCGAGAACCCGAGGAACAAGAGGACGAGCGGCACAAAGGTAGTCAAACAGAGGGGGAGGCGCAACGGTAAGAGAGGACGGAGGAGGTGACGGTAGAAGGGGAGGACGAGACACGTGGGAACGGAGCAACATAGGGTGAGAACGCGGGACAGGGGAGACAGGACGAGCGCGAGAGGGACGGCGGGACCAGACGTGAGACGGAGGCGTCGGGTCAAGAGATACAGGAGGGGACACAAGGGGGGAGCGAGGGGGAAGACGAGCCGGGGACGAGTCCGGTGGAGGGAACACAGGGCCGCAGACAGGAAGACGAGGAGACGGCAGGAGAGGAACGGACGCAGGGTCAGCGGACGGAAGGCCGAGCAGGCGAAGGGCTGACACCGGCGGGGACTGCTGCTGCGGCGGCACAACACCAACACCGGGACCGCAAGCTGCTCCTCGGCTTCCTCCGGGACACTCCACTCCGGCACCCCCAGAAGGAACACCCCAGAGCCGACGAACTGCTGCTGCGACGGCGGCGGCGACGGCGGCGGGAACGACGGGTGCGGCCGCGGCGGCGGTGGAGACGACAGCTGTGACAGCAGGGGCGACGGCGGCTGCAGAGGCTGTGGGGGAAGAGACACCGGGGAGGGGCAGACGGCGAGGACTGCACCGCAGGGCCACCAGAGTTAGAGGACTCCTCGACCGGGACAACTGACGGTAGAGGGGTGACGTGGGACACACCAGAGGGGGCAGGACGAGGAGGGGGAGGGGGGCGGGGGAGGGACCACCGGGGAAGGAGTGACCAGGAACACGGGGGGAGTAACCGAGGGACCGCGGTGGGGGAAGCGACGGTAGAAGGAGACGGACTCGTCAAAGGTGACGTCGCGAGAGTGAAAGAACTGGTGAGACGGCGGGTGGTAGAAGTGCCTGTCGGATGCGTCAAGGGGGAAACCGAGGAAGACGCAGGGAAGGGTGCGGGCAGTGAGCTTGTCCGTGCCAGAGGCACGAACGTGAGCAAGGCAGCCCCAGACGTGGAACACAGACGCGTCACCAGGAGACCCGGTCCAAAGAAGGGTCGGCGAAACCTGCGGCCGCTGGGGGTGCGGCCACAGGTTAAGCTGGTGAGCAGCGTAACGCACGGTGAACGGCCATAGGAAATGGGGTGCACCGGCATGGATCATGGAGGTGCGAGCCACCTCCATGACCAAACCGATGCGTCGCTCAGCGACCCCATTCTGCTGCGGGGAGTCCGGCAGGGTGAACGTCTGGGTGATGCCCTCCGCACGACAGAAGCGACCAAGGACACCAGAGGCAAACTCGCCACCACGGTCGGAGTGAAGACGCAAGATAGGGAGACCTCGGTGGACACGCGCAGAGACAAGCCAGGGGATGAGAGCGTCAGGCACGTCGGCCTTCCGCTCCAGGGGAAAGACTGCGGTATAGCGTGTGAAGTCGTCGACAAGCACTAGGAAGTAGAACTCTCGACGCGGCCGATGGACGGGGGCAGGGCCCCAGACGTCCATGTGCAGGGTCTGCAGCGGCGCGGCGGTAGGGGGAAACGAGGAGGAGTGAGGGGCGCGGCGAAGCCGACCCTCGACACAAGGCGTGCAAGGCGGGGTGGGGGAGGAGGGAAAAGCAGGGAACGAACTAGGGAGACAGGGTGTAGGTTGAAGGTTGCACTAGAAGTGGGGAGGTGTCCAAGTTATGATTAGCTGATGTGGCAGGCAATCCGGACCAGGAGCTTGCCTCCACATCTGCTTCAGCATCAAGAGAGCATCCCCCTCTCTCTCCACCCTCTTATCCACGTTGTAGTATAATTCATACTTAGCATTTCTGTATGTCGTTTATCGATAGATCGTGTCGAATCCTACTGTAGAAGATAAGTCCGTAGGATGATGTCAGCAAATAGCGCTCGTCATAGGACAGTCGTTTCAGTGACGCGAATAGTCGCATCTCCTCATTATCATCTAGGGCGCATAGCGCGATAGTGACGAACAGGTACATTAGCGAATAGTTAACTTGCTAGAGCCATAAAATCATTGTGTCGAGAAGAAAACTGAACAAGTGTTGAATAGAGAGAGAGAACAAGGGTATATACCTAAGAGTATTGTACCCTCTAGGAGGTGACCCTATACAGTCTATACAAATATGAGTTAAACATATATTTGACACACCCCCTAGACTGCATAGGGGCAAAACCTGAACAAGCAGCTCAAGGCGGCACTGCTAGTCCAGCCATTGAGACAAGGGTCTAAAGACCAGTCAAAAGGAGTACAGGCAAGACAAGAACAAGTCCAGGGCGGCACTACTAGTCCAGCCACTGGGAGAGGACACAAGTCCAGTCTGAGTACATATATAGATATATATAGGACTGTACAAAGTCAAGGTCCTAGCAAGTGAGAGGCTACAGGAACTAAACCGAGCTGTACACAGTGCCGCTGATGATCTTTA